TCTCAGCAGGAGAACCAGGGGCTCCTGGAGCTGCTGGTGCTGCTGGTCCATTTGGGTACCCGGTGAGTGCAGATGCAGCTCCTTCCATTGATGCCCAACACAACCTCCTGCCTCAGCCGGTAGGATGGGGTGCAGGAATTGTGCTGGAGCTCCCCAAAGCTCCTGCAGGAAGGAAGGGGAAGGGGAAGGGAAGCTGGTTCATGGCTTCTCCACCCATGGTGTGCTGGGGCATCTCAGATCCATGCTTGGGAGCTGCAGAGGCCTCCTGAGTTAAGGCAAAGCCTTACTGCTAACATGGATTGTTTGTTTGCAGGGCCGGGAAGGTCCAAATGGACCTGAAGGGCCTTCAGGGATGAGAGGAGAGAAGGTAAGGATAGAGAATATGGTTTGGTTCCTCTTGCTGGTCCCATGAGTCAGGATCTGCCCAGGCCTTGCCAGGCCTCCTGCAGGCACTGGGTATCCAGGACAGCTGGGTCTGTGGGGAGCCTGCATGGGCGACCTATCCCAACATCTTTGTCCTCTGGCAGGGTGATGTGGGACCTCCTGGGGATGCTGGTGTCAGCGGGCTGGATGGAGAGCAGGTATATTACTGAGGAGCCATGTCCTCCCCTTGGCTGGGGCTGCTCCAGCTCATCTCTCCCTATGGACCTTCTCCAAGGATGGGGAATGGAGAGAGGAGGTTTCTGATCCTCAGTGAAACCAGAAGGCTAAAGCTGAGCCAAGGGCTTTGTGCAGTGTGGGGTGGACAACCTATGCCAGGGCTGGGCTGTGTGTTTCGTCCCCAGGGACCACCAGGACCACCAGGAGCAGAGGGGCAGCTGGGGCCCAAAGGCAAGCAGGTCAGTCCCTGCTGGGAGCTGCGGTGATACTGGTGGCACTGGGCTCCCCTGGCCCCACTGCTGCAGGGGTGGGCAAGGACCTAACCCCATGTGGGGTGGCTTGAAACCCACCCCCAGCGTGCTTATGCCTCAAGGTTTATGTTGCTGGGTATGGTTTGGATACCTGGTGCGAGGAAAACTGGGGTGGTGGGAAATGATTGTCTTCATCCTGTCCAGGGAGAGGCAGGAACCGGTGGAGCTCCAGGCATCAGAGGAGCCCCTGGGGAGCCAGGGGAAGATGGGCCAGAGGGACCACCAGGGAGACATGGAGAGCCAGGCAAGGAGGTACGAGTGCTGAGTGCCACCAGCCTGCGGGACAGGGACAGGAAAGGTGTGTGCCACCAGTTCTGGAGAGCTCCAGCTCTGCCCCAGACAGGCTGAGGTGCCGCACTGAAGGAGGGAGCTGATGCTTTGGGGTCCCTTTGCTGGACGAGGTGTTGCTTGGCTGCTGTGTCCTCACTTGCTTTTTGAGTCACAGCTATAAGTGACCGCCTGGTGCAGGCAGAGCTGCAGGGCCATCAGCACCAAGATCCCAACCAGAGCAGGGTGGAGAAGCCCCTGGCAGTCAGAGCTCAGCTTTTACCCTGCCCTGGGATGGGGCTGGGGAGCAGGCACTGCATCTGATGCTGTACTTCCCCTCCGTGCAGGGTGATGCTGGTGACGCTGGAGACCTGGGTGAGCCAGGACCACAGGGGCAGAAGGTGAGTGCCTCTAACTCTGTCCCTCCTTGAAGCACCTCAGGAACACCCATAACCTGCTCAGCATCCACTGCTCTATTTGCCATTGTGGGGGCAGAAGCCGTACAGGGGTGTCCCCGTGGCTGAGGACCCCTGAGATGCAGGGCTCAGACTTGGCATCACCTGAGCACCCTAGAGTGAACTTCTGTCTGTGGCACCCAGTGAAAGGGTGCAACATGTCATCTCCAAGCAGAAGCTCATGTTATCACTGTTCCTTGCTCTTCTTTGTGGTGACATCTCTGTCTTCATCCCTGAGCAGGGTGATGCTGGGCCCAGGGGCCTTCCTGGAGCACCAGGACCAGGAGCTGCTACAGGGGAAGTTGGAGGAAAAGGCCATAAAGGAGAGAAGGGACAAGAAGGTTTGCTGGCAAGTACATAGAGAGAGCCTGCCTCAGCCCACCAGGCTCCCTGTGTACCCACAGCCCGGCGGTTGGGTGCTGGGTGCTGAGAAGGGGGGCTCAGCCCTGGTGGGAAACCTGGGGCAGCAGGAGTCATAGAAAGTACTGGGAATTGGCAAATCTCCATAATTAGGGAGTTTTATGTCTCATGGGCATAACTCCAAAATTGGGTCTTGTTGGCACATAAGGATAGTTTGGACTTGGGCCTGTTGGAGCGAGGCCAGAGGAGGCCATGGAGCTGCTGCGAGGGCTGGAGCAGCTCTGCTCTGGAGCCAGGCTGAGAGAGCTGGGCTGGGGCAGCTGGAGAAGAGAAGGCTCCTGAAGGGGACACCTTAGAGCAGCTCCAGTGCATAAAGGGGCTCCAGGAGACCTGGAGAGGGGCCTTGGACAAGGGATGTAGGGACAGGCCAAGGGGAATGGCTTTTAC